AAATAACCACCAATATTTACAAAAACCGTGCCCGCTCAAAACATCAAACGCTTAAAATATCTAGACGACTAAAAACGCTCAAAATATCTAGACAGGTAAAAACGCTCAAAACATCTAGACGACTAAAAACGCTCAAAATATATTCGCTCAAAACATCAAACGCTCAAAATATCAAAATATATTTTTCTATTTAAAGGGGACAGTTGAGTCCGCGGAAAAAAGTTTTTGTCGCTGCGGAGGAAGCCGGGCATGTCGAGCGGAACGACGGCCGCCGCTTCACTACGGTCGCCGCGAGCGAAGCGAGCACGACCGCAGCGAAGCACGGCAATCGTGTAGCGAAGACCATGCCCGGCCTACCCTCCGTAGCAGCACAAAAACAGTTTATCCAGCGAAGATTCTGTTGGTCATAACATTGTCAAAAATCATCCAATCGAGCTGATTTTGGTGTTATTAGACTCAGCTCGACGAGCCCTTTCTCAACACGTCGAGTTCATGCAAAATTGGTCCTGAGATACTACATTAATCACCCCTGATACAAGGAAGAAATATGGGACTCAACTGTCCCTTTTAATCAAAAAATATTTTGATATTTTGAGCCTTTTTAGCCGTCTAGATATTTTGAGCGTTTGATGTTTTGAGCGAATATATTTTGAGCCTTTTTAGCCGTCTAGATGTTTTGAGCGTTTGCTGTTTTAAAAAAATATGTTTTGTAGGGTAGCCACAAAAACTATTAAAGAAAGCGAACGTAGCAATTTACGCATTTTTTCGTCTTGTAGATCTTTTTAAATTTTAAAATAATTGAATAAAAATAAGATAGAAATAACTCAAATAAGTATAGAAAATAAATATTTGATAGATTTTTATAGGTTTGATAATGTTTGTTTGTGGTAGTATTCTATGAATGGGATATTTTGTTGTAAGGGCTAGGCTCCATACTTTCTAGTTTGGTTGCTATTGTAGGGTATGTCAAGCTTCAGGTACGGGTTTGACTTTATTTCGGGTGTCGGAATAATAACAAAAATTCTTAACTAAATCTCGCGAAAAATTTTGATTTATAGTTGCAGTAAAATCCAAAATTCATTATTTCGGTTTTGGGCGAATAATTTTCAATTAGTATATAACAAGAAATCAGGGTGTCCCTTTTGCCTTATTCACAGGGCATTTGCCCTATTTTTGACAATTTCGCCCTATTTTTTCCCTATTTTCTCATTTGCCATATTTTTGCCCTATTTTTATCATCTAGTAAAATTTTAAAAATTCTTCGAATTTTGTAAAAAAAAATGGTAAAAATGAAGGATTTCTGACTTCCTGGCCTCCAAAATTCTCAAAATTTTCGCCTGCGGCGCAAAAAATGTATGAAATTTGGCTTCTTGAGCTCCAAATTTCAAAAAATTTTCGCCTGCGGCGCTGAAAATTGGAAGAATTCTTCGATTATGGTACGGGGATTTGGGGATTTGGTCGTGAATCGATGGTACGTTTTAGGGGATATCATGTTTGAATTATCTGTGATATTTGCTTTCTTAAGGGTAATTCAATTAACGGTATTCTGGGATTAAAGAGGATATCCCCAATAAAATAGATTAGTCACAAGTTGATATTTAATGATAAAGAAATTTTTAATTGAAAATTTAGTTTAAAATATTGAAAAATATGCATAATAGAGCTTTCTTTTTAAAATTTTAAGTATTCTTAAGTGTTTAAAACAATGCCCTATTTTTTGCCCTATTTTTGACCAATTTCGCCCTATTTTTGCCATATTTTTGAGTAGCCTCGCCCTATTTTGGTGTTTTGGAAAGGGACACCCTGCAAGAAATACATATCAGTTTACCTCCTTTAATTTTTACCAAAATTCCAACAGCAATATGTAATATTATAGCAATTGACATTAATGGTATCAGAATAATTCTGGAATCAAATGAATTAGGAGCAGTTAAGCCAATAACTTCCCCTAAAAAATTAGCTACAGGCCAATTTGGATATGCCTCTATTGAAGTATAATTCAAATGAACAATAAATATTCCAAAATTAATAATTATTATCAGATGTATTGAAATATAGAGATGAGAATTAAGATTGATATAACTATATAAAATGGACAAATTTAAACTAGGGTTGCTCACGACCGGGTTTAAAGCCTAAAAATTTGATATTTTTTGCCAAAAAGTAACCGATTTTACAAAATTTAAAAAACCGAAAACCGAAAACTTCTGAAAATGATTAATTTTATTAAAAATTCCCCCAAAATAAAACCGGTATTTGTCTAAAACTCAAAACCGAAAACCGATTTTTAAAATTTGGATTATCCGAAAACTAAGGGTACACTAACTGGTCGTGAGCAACCCTAATTAAAACCAATTAAATACACGTATGTATAAGTACTAGTGTTCGGCAAATGTGTCTCTCTAGGAGGGTCTTAATGGGTATTGTAATTTTCATACTGGAGCCAAAAATTCCAAAATCTTATCGTTACGATTCTGGTAACGGAAGTACCGAAAATTACCGGTCCGTTAATAACGTTCAGTACTTTTTTCGGATCCGGATCCACCAAACTTACTGGAGACTTGGTGTGTCGAATCTAGTGGGTCTTATATAGGTGGGTCTCTCTAGGGGGTCTTATAGTCTTCATTTCGGATTGCGTTTCAAATGTTTAAAATTTATTTGTTAAATACTTATTTATGTTAATTAATAGTCTAATATTAACGTGATTCTACTTTATTCTCCTAAATCACAACCTCTCTGTACATTTAATTCATAATTTTTATAAAATTAGTTACAATATTGGAAATGCAATAGCAAAAACTCTATCCAAACTTAGAGATGCAAACATAAAAATTGATGCAAATGATCCAAAGATCGGTATAGCTTGATATTTAAAAGCTACTATGGCTGGTACAAAATTACTTCCTTTTATTGTAAAAATCAAAAAGAATAAATGGCCAACTTGATGTAAAATTTCACAAAATGAGTTGATAGCCAGTAAAATACTTGTTTTGCTTTTCATTGCCGTATATTTTCCCCTAAATTATTTAACCTGATTTAATTTTATAAAGTTGGTTTCAAAGGTTCAGCTTTGAATTATAACTTAAATCGTAAATGTCTTATTAAAGGATCTTGAGTTATCGTAGGTTCTGATTAAATAGTAACTATAGTGATTGCTTTCTAATGATCTAAGTTTATGTACATAGGTTTATTTATTTATTTATTTATACGAACACCAAAAGGTACATACAAGCATGTACACTTACAATGGATAAAAAAAACAATACAAATAAATGCGTTGGTAAAATTATAAAAACTTTTAAAAAAATGATATTTGAAAAAATAAATGTGGATAAAAAAAATATGTGATTAAAAAAATATATGTGATTATATTTAATGAAAAATAATGTTAAAAACCCTTAAAGACCAAAATCTACACAATTAGCTAATACTCTAAATTTTTTGGGATTTGCACACTCAATGACTTCTTTAGGTCTTAATTGATTATCTTCACCATGGATAAAATACGATTTAGGCTTCTTATTAGGATATCATTGGTAATAATTTTATAAGATATTCAAGATTTAAATTACCAATATTTCACAACTATATAACAAACACTTGAATTCATTGAAATTCCAAAAAAAGAAATTAAACCCATAAAAAATGCAGGAAGAAAAATTGCAAATTGAAAGCCCGAAGATTGATAAGCCAGGAAAATTTCCTTTAAATTTTATTTTTAATTTTTAAATTAAAAAAGTCGGCGAAATATTTCAACTTCTAGGACCTGTTAAAAAGGATATTTACTAGCTGAAAGCTCAGGGGAACTGTCAGAAATTTGCAATTCAAAATTATTCGTGAGTAGAGTTGGACGATATCGATATTGAAAAAAGATCGATATTTGATATATCAATATCCTCTACTTGTCCAACCCTAGCATTGAGTTCGTCGGTTTTGGGATCAACATTTGGTTTTGATTAATGTATATCAAACGTCCCTAAAATTTACGCGCATAAATAAACTAACAGGTAATTTTAATGTCGTATTATTCATTATTGTTTAATGTAGTATAATTTTTTAAATTATTTTGTAAATTAAAATTGGATTTTCTAATTGAAAGAAATAAACAAAATTGTATTAAATATTTTAAAATTTAAATAAAATGAAAAATTGAAATTTTTACTGAAATATTTCAAACAAAAATCTTAATATTGAATTATAAAAATAAATATTACCTCAATTTTTTATTAAAAATTAAATTAATAATGTAGCTTAAAAGTTACATGCTTAAACTAAAATTACTAGCTAATAAAATTATATACATCAAGCTTTAAACAATTACGCCAAGTTAAATTTAATTTATAGGCTTGTTTATAATTTTTAATTAAATTTTAAATTGTGTATTTCTTGTAAATATCACTCTTGCTTTACTAAAGTGTACCGGAACCAAATATAATTTAATAATAATTTAAATAAAATTTATTTCATTAAAAACGGCAAAACTGCCATAAATTTAATAAACAATAATGTAAACTGATTGAATTTTCAAATGTAAACAACAATAAAATGAAAAAATTTTTTAAAAAATCGTTGCAAATAAAGCAATTTTTGATTAAATGAATAGGTAGATTGTTGTGGTAAATTAATATAATAAAAAGTTTTTTGAATCTTTACATACATGTGATTGATGAATTTAGGTAGATCCCAGAAAAATGTCAGACTCCCCAAACGATATATTTGGGGAGATAAACCCAACTTTAGTTGGGTTTATGCTACTTAGGAACTCTTCGGATATCCATGAATCGACCCGAATAACCTAACAAAATAATTCATGCTTCTTTTGTTAGGTTACGAACCGACAACCCTGCTTAAATATTAGATTTGTTAGACATAATGACACGCATACGAGGCCCGCTGTAAAGATATCTAATTAAGTTTCCAAACTAACAACACTAAGGATGTAGATAATTGTCGTGACCAAATTAAGAGAAAAATAGAAATTATTTTAAATTAGGATACTCCCCAGTCATCCACTATGCCCTCCCAGGCAACCCCAACCCCCGAAACTCACGGCCCTGAAATTCACGATACTACCCTAATTCAAATGATATTTCCTGCCATTAAAAATTCAAAAGTAAACTTTCCATTAGATTGATAACGACAACATTTTTTAAAAATAAAATATTTAAATTTCAAAAAATGGTGGTTAAAAATAAATAAATACTAAAGAATAAAAAATGAGAAAGATAAATATGAGAACAATTTTTAAAATAAAGTTTTCTTTTGATTAAATTAATTAATCGTTTAATCTTTACAACAAAAATTATCCTGCCGCTTCGGCAAGTTCAGCCAAAGGCTCCAAAACTGGAACAAAACGAACACGATCTGAACCTCCAGAAGAAGAACGACGACGATGCCGACCAGAAGTATGTCCAGACAAATAACTTTCATCGGCCATAGGCTTTAAATGATGAACTGAAGAATCCTCCCCAACATTTGTGGGAGACAATGGACGGCTATATTTATCAGGAATGACAGATTTGAGATAAACCTGGAAAAAAATTAAAAAGATTTAATTGAAGTTTAATAAAATTATTTTGGAGCAAACTTTGGTTTTAATTTAGATATAATTAGCGCTGGGTATGAAGGGTTTGCGAAAGTGATTTTAAAAGCTGAACCCGAAAGGCGAAACAAAAAGGAGGCAAAAATGGGAGAAAGACAAAGGGCGAAACTGTAAAAGACAAGGTGGTTATACCTCCGGGAGTTAGACTCAGCCCAGAAATTTGAGAAACATAGGAGCCAGAATCGAAACTATTAGGAATCTGAAAGGAAAATGTCTCGGAGTTCGCCCTACAACTGTTAGGTATAAAAATAAATACCGTATTATCTCTATTAGAATGCCCCTCTCCATTTGAATGTCCCCCTCTAATAGAATGCCCCTCTAGCGGAAGATCGAAAAATACAATGCCCCCCTCCATTTGAATGCCCCCCTCTAATAGAATGCCCCCCCCCTCCCTTTTTTGCTGAAATTTTTCTAAATAAAAAAGATATTACAATTTATATTTAAAACGTTTACTACATATTCACTTTTAATCGTAGTAGGAATTTTCCGAGTTGAGTAGGAATTTTCCGAGTTCGAGTAATCCGAGTATTATAATCCCGAGTTCCGAGTTGAGTAATTACGCAAAAAAACCGAGCGGTCGAGTCGAGTAACTCGAACTCGCTCGAACTCGACTTACTCTATTTTATATTATAGATAAAAATTTTTGATAAAAATTTTTTCAAACTTTAAAATTTAGTCATCGAAAAATACAATGCCCCCCTCCATTTGAATGCCCCCCCCCTAATAGAATGCCCCTTTGGAAGGTGATTGAAAAATAGAATGCCCGGGCATTCTATTAGAGATAATACGGTAATGCTAAAAAATAATGTTTTTTTTCATTTTAAAATTCAAAACAAAATCTTTTTTAAACTTACATCAGGAAGTAGTTTATCAGGCTGTGCCTCATCTCTCACAATTCGCACTGAACCGATATTACCTTTGATCAACTAAAAATTTAAAAATAAATTTTATTTTCAGTCAATTAAAGCACCTGTTCGTAACGAATTAATTGCCTCCAAAATCCAATATTTGGTCGAACTAGAGGTCGTTTCTCACACATTAAATGATAAGCAGCACGTAATGACCGAGTTCGATATTTGAGCAAATATGCAAGACAAATACTTGCTGAACGGCTAACACCCGCAACACAATGGACAAGAACGGCGCCATCATCTCGAATAATGGCATGCATCTGGGAATGGATTTTTGATAAGACTAGGATTAATTTACAAAATTAGCTTAAATAAGGTTAACAGTTTATTCAAGGCTTCTAAACTGATTTTACGTGGTTGCGGGAATTCATATATGGAGAACGGAAATGGGGACTTCCAGCAAGCTGGGGGACCTCTATTGTCATTCCTCTGGACTTTCTAAGGAAGCAGAGCGCTCTAGACTCTTATAATTTAACTTCCAATGTATGTATAGTTCGTTTGAACTTTTACACAAACCAATTCGATAGCAGGGACAGTAACAAAGGATTTAAATGTGAGCATGCCCCAACACCAGGCGATTTCGCGACAAACTTTTTTGGACTTTTAACGAGTAGGCTGTTCATGTTCTTTTTAATATTTAAAAAGTGAAATTATACAGTTGGGGTGACATTAAAAAAATTGTTTAGAATTCTTACGGATAAGGCTGTTCTAGTTCTTTTTTAATAGTTAAACAGTCGACTATCATCTACCTGATCAGCAACAATATCAAAATGAGCAAATAAATCTTCTTCAGGAGTGTCCTCAACCCATAATTTCATTCTTGTTACTTGTCCCAAACATTTAAGGTTCGGAACTTCTCGTGTACAGTTAACAACTAATTGAATTCGAAAAGCACAAATATTCGCTGCTGTAAGCCCATTAACACCACAAATAAATAAACCAGGAATTATTTCAGATAATTGGGCATACTCTTCATTTACACGGAATGATAAAGGTGGCATATTTTTTAATGATTTAATGTTGTATTTTTATGGTAGGATATTTAAAAAAATATTTTTTTCAATTATTAAATGAAAGCAATTTTTTGTGTACGTCTAAAAAAAAAATAATTAAAATTAGACTATAAATTTGTCGAAAAAAAAAATTAAAAATTTCTTAGAAATAAGAAATAATTAAAAATTATAAATAATAGATGGATTGGATATTAATAAAAAATAGAGGCATGTAAACCTGTGAAATAATTTTTATATAAGAGTCTAGCAAAGTTTATATAAGAAAGAGTCTATTTTTATAAAATAGTATCTAAATAAATTTTTAAATAGAATTTATTTAAATAAAATTTTCAGACTAAATATTATTAAAATAATATACCAAAAATAAATACCAAATTATTTATTTAGTCAAAATACACGTGAATTTTGAGTGTTCTTTGGAAGATATAAAAAAGATAAAAAAATTTAAATTCCAAATATAAATTTGGATGAGTAATTTGTTTAAATTAAATTTATAGTGCCACACAAAGTATTTAAATTGAAAAAATAAATAAATAAAATTATTGAAAATTTAATTTAAAAATAAAATTGGAAGATAATATTAGTTAAATAATTGGAGATAGTTAAGGAAAGATATAAATAATGAAAAAATATTTAATAATATAGAATAATAATTTTAATTAAAAAATAAAAAATAAAAATTTTCTTAAATAAACACTACTAATTACCGCAAAGCCTTTAATAAAAGCCCTGACGAGAATGGACCAGTAGAATGCTCTAATAAATAAAATAAGTCTCCAAACGGGGTCCAACCCTCGACTTATTTCAACAGATTCATGACCGAAAGATGGCATATAAACTAGATCCAAAGCCACTTACTCAGTACAACTAACTTTAGGCTAAGATACGTTGAGCACGAGAGGTTGTATTTAAAAAATTTAATTAAAAAAACGAAGTTTAAAATTAAATTTAAAAATTTAAAAAATTTAAAAATTAAAAAACGAAACAAAACAAAAAAATTGGGCCAAAATCTTCAATTATGAATTGAAGTATAGTTGATTTTATTTTAGTAATTTGAAGCTAAATGAGTATTTTTTTTTAATTTTTAAGTAATTTTTTCTAATCTTAAAAATTAAAAAAAATAATTAAAATAACTTTAAAAACATTTTTCTTAATTCTGATAAATAATTTAAAATATTTTTTTAAACATTAATGATCACAGTATCATTTAGTAAATATAATCAACATTAAAATAATTATAATCTTTTTGAAAGAAAAAAAACCTTAAAAATTAAAAAAAATTCAAAAAAAAATTTTTACAAATTTTTCCTTCGAATTTTTAATTTTTTATTGGGTTCTTCTCGGCAATTTTTTATATTAAAAGCCCCTTATTTTGTAGTAAAATGATAACGGAGAAATTAAAATAAAACAAATAAACCGTGAAACAATTAAAAAGGCCAAGGAATAAATTAAAATATTTGAAGAAATTTTATTAGACAAAAAAGTAACGAAAGTAAAAAAGACTGAAAGAAAAACTGATTTGCTAGGGAGTAGATAAGGAAAAGTTAGATTGAAAAAAATTATAAAACAGACCTTCTGAATATCATTCTTAAAGACAAGAATTCCTTATTGACCTTTCCACAATTTCAGATCATGTCCTGAAAGCAAAAAATGAACACCAAAAAAATCTAATATTCGAGGGAACTGATAGAGGAATGGTATCCAAATTAAGAACTCCTTGATTTGTAAATTTTGTTACTTCGAATAGGTTTAATTATGAAAAAATAAGACAAAATAAATTTTATTTTTTGTTCTATAGGGTTCTCAAAAATTCTAGAGTAATTTTTTTGATACTAATAATGAAAATTAAGAAAAAAGTTTTCTCTAAAAATTGAAATAATAAAGAAATGTTAGGAAAAATTAAACAGCTGATAATTTAAATATATTCAAAAAGAAACTAATAAATTAAAAAAGAATAAAAAATAATTCTTTGTGCTTCTTATGACAAGGGATGTAATAAAAATAATTGAAATAAAAATAACTTTAGAATAAAAATAGAAAAATAAAAAAAAAGAAAAAAAAATCGAAAAACGTGGTTAACTTGTAGGAAAATTAACAAAAATATTTTTCTAAAAAATTTTTAATTTAACAAATGTGATTTGAAAAATAATTTCTAAACAAATAAAAATATAAAATTGAAGGATTATGAAAAATTTAAGAGATTAACAAAAAAGAAGTTAGAACAAGAAACAAAATTAATAAGCCTGAAAATCAGCAAATCATTAATTATTTTTAAGTACATTTTTTGTAAGTAAAAAATAATTGAAAAATTGTAAAATATTTTTGTTCAATTGTTGACAAATTTTATTAATTTTTTCTTCAAAAAGGAAAGAATCAGTTAGCATTTTGTCAGTTAGCTTTTTGGCTTTTGATGGATGTATTTTAAATATATAAATGTACTTTAATCTTTAAAAATTTTTTCGTTTCATTTGTTTTATTTTAAAAGAAGATTAAAAAATTGTTTTAAAATGAAATAAAAATTTTTTCAAATAATCGTTTCCAAAAAATATATCTTTTGATACATGTTTCTACATTTTTGCGCAAAATTCAAAAATTTTCAGGTATACGAGATAAATAGGGTTTTGCCGTATAAATAAAATCGTGATCCGTCTAAATAAATTTTTCAAAAGGATACAAACTGAGTTTCGAATTGTATTGTACATTAATGTCAAAAAATGCAAGGCCGGCTAAAAATCATATTTACCAGCCTAATAATATTATTAAAGTAAGTGTTATATGATAAGAAACATGCTATCTTTTTCAATAAAACAGTATTTTATTTTAATTAAAAAATGTTCAAAAATTTAAAAAAAGATATCATTTTGGACTGGGAATACCCTCAATATGTTTGTTCAAGTCCGTGGCAGGTACAAAGTCCGTAAAGCAAAATAATTTAAAAAAAGACATTCATTTCAAATTCCAAAAATTAGTTAAAGAAATAACAAATGATAAATTTTCTAGATTATTTGATTGACAGGAAAAAAAGAAAAATAAAATTAGAAAGAAATAAAATTATATTATTACAGCCAACTGTTGAGTTTAAATTTAAAAATCAAAAATTAAAAAAAATAAAATCAAAAATAACAACAGCAGGAACTAGTTTTCTCAAATTCCCCAACATTCGAGGACAGGAACAATTCAAATTAGGGTAGCTCCACGGGTTTTCGTGGATGGATGTGTCGGAGATCGGGGATTGTCAGGTAAGGGATTCAGGGTTGGGTTCTTGCCAAAAAATTGTCGGGGTATGGGGGTGGGGGACTGGGTGTTACCCTACTTCCAATGAATATCTAAATTTTTAAAAAATTCCTCTAATCCCAAAAAAATAATTACAAGAATTATAATTTTTAATTTCTATTTTTAAACATTTTCTTTTTATAAAAGATCTACATAATTTTTTTATCAAAAAAACTTTTATTAAATTTTGAATAATAAAAAGCTATTTTATACAAAAATTCCTTTTATAATAGGCCAAACGCCAAACAATCCAGTGACTTAAGAATATAAAAAACTGTGTGTGATTCTAAGAAAGGAAAACTAAAAATGAGGCAAAGAATAAATATACAACAAAACGTGATATAATTTAGTTGGACGCAAAAATTTGTTTAAAAAATAAAAAAATTTAGAAGAAAATTGATTAAAGAATAAATGAAAAAATTGGTTATTGAGCTTTTGTTAAAGAAATTAATTAATTAAATGAATAATCTTATAAAGAATTATTTAGTCAAAATAAAATGAAAAATATTAAAATTGAAAAAAAAATTTAAACTTTGGGTTAAATGAAATTGTTCAGATCCACCTCCACTGGAAAATTCCCTCTCTTCATTGGTTTATTTTTTTTCTTCCCTCAGAAAAAAATTTTTTTTTCTTCCTTTATTTTTTTTTATTTTTCTTCCCTCAATAAATGAGGGAAGAAAAATAAATTTAAAAAAGAATAAATATTTTAAAAAAATGCCAGTTAATTACTCATTAATATTTTTTCTTATTTATTACTCATCCCATCCCATGAAAAAAATTTTGTGTTTTAAACAAACAATTTTTTTATATTTAATTAAGCTTTAGTGTCCCTAAATGTCTACATACTGTACCGGAAACAAACAAAAAATCATTTGCCAAGATACGTTACAAATACAACAAGGATGTTGTTGTTTCCGTTTCCGGCTCGTTTCATTATTTGCTTATTTTTGAAAAACGGAAATTAATTTATTAGTTAACTTGAATTGGTGAAGATTTTGCAGATTTTTGAAAAATTAAGGACAGCTCCTGTAGTCAGAGTTACTACATATAATATTTGAAAAATGCCGGGGCTAGAGCCTTAAAGTGCCCAAAATCCAGTAGTTTTAAAGAGCGAAATTTGGAAAGGAACGAAAGAAAATTCTAAAAAAATTTTTGAAAAGGAAAAAATTTTTTGAATAAAATAGTAATAAACAGAGAATATTTTAATACTTTTTTTACACATTTAAAGAGTAATTTTAACAAATTTGGGCAGGAATGGGAGACAAACATATACAAATAATTTATATATAGTAGTTGCTGTAAGAGCGTAAATCAATAGAATAAAAAATGGAAAAAACGGGGCAGCTGACTGAGGACAATTTCCGTAAACCTCGCTTACCAAAAAAAATTTTATTAAATATATTAAATTGTAACCATGCAGAATAATTAAAAATATTGTAAGGCCAGTGAGAGTTATTGCCAGTTATCTGTTTGAATACACCAAGATGGAACAAGAAATCCCAACCTTTGGTTGAGATTCTCTAGTTCAAGTGATAAAATAGCACGCTTCCAAAGTCGTTATATCCTTTCAACTGAAATCTACATTAGAAGGGCTTGATAAGGTTGTCGGACCAGTATGATTTTATTTTTCAATCCTCTAGTAGGTTGTGCTTATTTTACGGAGTCTGTTCTGTTGGAGCAAGAAGGCAGCTTCCACGGAAGCTTTGCTTTTTTTAGAAAATTTAAGGTAATAAAAAAGATAATAAACAGAATATTCATTGTTAATACAGTGATAATCATTGAGAATAGTAGTAGATGATCAAATAAAATATAAAATGAAATCAAAATGAGGAATAAATATTTATTTAAATAATAAAATTTATAAAATAAAAATGAAGTGATAATATAAAAAATATTTAATTACATTTTTTGGCCTCCATTCTAAAAATATTTTAAATGTGTGAATAAAAATGCTTTTAAAGCAATTTTAAACAAGAAAACTTGTTCCGCATACAAATTGTAAAGTCAATCTGTATACTATGGACTTGTGCAGTTTTAAAAATAAAATAAAATACTAACACAGAAAGGAACGGAATTATATAGCAAACAAAATCTATCCACATGAAAAGCATAAAAATTAAAAAAATTCTTTTTTGTCGGATGAATAGGCGTTGAGAATAAAGCGAATAAATAGAGACTGTCGTATTCACGTGAAATTCATTTGAAATGGACAAATAATGGATTGTGGTGGGAGGGGAATTAAAGCAAAATAAAATGATTAAAGATGTCGAAAGCTAAAATAAATAGAGGAGAGAGGGATATATGGGGAAATTGAATGTTATTGTACGAAGAAAAGCGTAATTGAGAGATTGAGGGGTTGCTAAGGAAATAATAGATGTAAAATGAGGAAATTTGAGATTTTTAATGAAAATGATGGATAAAGTTTTTATATTTTTTAAGAGGAAAGGAAGTTATTAATTATTTTAGTATCTAATTTATGAAAATTTATAAAGAAATTTAAGAATTAACGTGAATTGGAAATTAAATAAGCAAATAACAATAGTGATTTCATGTCAAGTTGAAGTAATTTGAAGGAATTTTCTAGAAGTTGATGAAAAGGGAAAGGTTGTTGTATATTAATGGAGGTACTAGGATTATTATTAAAAAGGGATTGAAAGTATCGGGAGTAGAGACCTGATTGAGTGAGATCTCAACAAAAGTCTCGGTTAATCCAACATTCGTAAAAATTTTTTTGTCTGCAACGCTAAAAAATAAATTTTGGGCGTCTTAAACGTTAAACATTACACATTTTCATTTGAGTCCGCGCAGTTAAGCTCTTTTGAATTTCTAAAATTTTTCATGATATTTCTCCAACACTTTTAGTCGGCTATCTGTCGACAAGAAAAAGTTATTCAACTCTAATTTTGCTCCTTTCAGTCTACTATTTCTCCAGACAAACCAACATTATATTTAAATAGACTTATTAATAATCACACTCACTAACAACATATCCGGTCTAGTAAAGTCACCCAGACTAGCTTTCACAATGCCCTTTTAAATAAAAATTTATTTCGACGAAATGCTAAAGCAAACGCCAAATAAAAGCTCCAAATATTATTGAAATTATGGGGTCTATAAAGAAAAATAAATATTGGAACAAAAAAGGAGAGGAAAAAGAAATAAATTTTAAAAAATAGTAGAGAATTAAGCAGCTGTCGCTAAGGAATAAATAGACAAAATGACAGACAGTCTGTCTAATATTATAAAATAAACTCTAACATACATAAATATTTACACATTATAAAGGAAAATGTGCTGAAATTCTTTTTGTCTCTCATTTCCAACTATAGTTGAGCGACATTTGATGACAAGACATTTGAGGATAAATCAAGTACAAAATAAGCGTTAAAAATGACAAACAGAGAGGTTAATTTATAAAAACAAGCTTGAAATTATTCATAACCAGACGTCGATTTTTGAGTTTATTCCTTCCAGTTTGTTTTCGAAATTTTGGAAAATTTCTAAAATTTCAGATAATTTTGAAGAATTGTTCCGACTGTGGATTTTGTCTAAATCTACAAAATTTCGTCGAAAAATGACGAATTCTGGCTTCATGAACTTGCAAAATTCTCAAAACTGATTTTGATGTTTTTTTTTAAAGATTAATCTTTTGAAAATAAAAACCCTATATACATTTACTTAGGAAATATACTTAATATTCTCAAATGTCGGTCTGCAAATGTCGCATAGCCTGTCGTTTTATTCTTTCTCTTCTCTAAGCGGCTGGTAGCAAAAAGAGAAAAATATTTTTTGTGAGGTTCACACAAAATTCACGTGAATTTCATTTTGTTGGTTATGGAAACGCGGAGAAACGCGGGCAAACAAAAAAGAGTGAAGAAAAAACCTTGAGCTTTGAGAAGTTTAGAGGGGTATTTAATGCGTACCTGTACATAAAGTGCAGCTTTTTTCAAAAATATTTATAGAGAGAATTAGTCTATAGAAAATTGTTTACGGTTTTGTTTTAAAATTCTGTTTGTAAACCGATTGTGAATAAATAATTTTAATATAAACTGAAAAAAGATACAAATTTTTGAAACGTTGAATAAAAAATTTTTCTTATTAAAAGTTAAATACCTACTGTATAAATCTGATGGATTATTTGCGGAGAAACAAACTAGGTAAATTAGAGAAGAAAATTGAAAAACTAAAGTATTTTTCGATTAATTACCCCCTCTAGGGCGAGGTTGAAAAAATAATTACCCAGGGTAATTGTTCAATACTAGTAGTAACCCCCCCCAAAATGTCCCAGTTGTGAAGTGGGACATTTCGGACGGGGTATTTACCCTACCACCAACATGCCCCAATTGAGAAGTAAGTTTTCATCATGTCCCAGTTGTGAAGTGGAAATTTTATGAACGTATTTTCCCCAATACCAGTTGCCCCAATCTAGTAGTAACCTAAATCAAAGCCCAACCCTTTTGTCTTATCCATGAGTGTCGGCAAATCAAAGGCCACGCTTTTGTCTCACTTAATTTTCCCGCACCACCCTTTTGTCTCAGTAGATTTTGGACGGTGTATTGTCCCCACACCCAACTGTCCCAGTTGAGAATTAAGTTTCCAAAATATCCCACAACAATTCCCAATTGTGTAGTAAAATATTTTATGGGTAAATTTCTCCTACACTCACCTACCCCAATTTAGTAGTAAACCCACCCCAAACGTTACAAACGTTACACCCCATTTGATCACCTGTCAATCAAACCTGAGGCTATAGGGGGTATTTTCTTTTGATCTTAGCCGCAAACCCTTTGCTTTTTGGAGGGTTTGAGGGTAATTAATCATGATTAATTAGGGTAATTAATCATTAATGATTAATTGCTTTTTGGTTGATTTTTTGTGGGAAGTGACAGGTTTGATGTTTTTGGTTTCTGGGTGGTCGGTTGCAACATTTGGAGGGTAAAATAAAAAATTTTAAAGCAATATTTAAAAGTGCGGTAAAATAAAAGAAGTCAAAAGGTTTTGGATGGGTGAAAATGCGGTAAAATCATAAAGAGATGAATTTTTGGGTTTTCAATTA